TTCTTTCTTTCTTTCTTTCTTTCTCTCTCTCTCTCTCTCTCTCTCTCTCTCTCTCTCTCTTTCTTTCTTTCTTTCTTTGATATAACTCCGTCTAGATATAACTCTATTTCTATATCTATCCTGTCTTACAGGTTTTTGTTTTCTTCTTTTCTTGAACTGCACCATAACAAACCCCGAACTCTAAAGTTCTTCCACATCTTCATATCCACCTACATGGCATTACATGAAGTATTCAGTTGTCTCTACTTACCTATGTCACCACGCTAGCAACTATTAAGGACGCCATTTATTTATGGAATATGGAACTCAGTATCTGCCACCTGGAACTCTTCATTGACCCCATCCATCCCCACCTTCACAATTTTTTGTTTGTTTGTTTGTTTGCTAAAGATTTGAAGAAACTCACCAGTCCTCCTTAAAAGAGAAGGCAGAAGAGAGGCTTTCTCACCTATTTCTAGGCTTGATGAGCTCAAAGCCTGCTCTGAATCAGCCGGGCTCCCTGAATACAAGCTGTTTGGGATTACTGTCTCTTTGTCAAAGTATTTATAGGAGCTAAAATATGTGTATTTTTATATTTCAATTTCTCAGATGCCTTTTGAAAGAAAAGAAAAAAACTATTTGCCAGATTCCTCCAGACAGACTGTAAGCATTTTGATAATCTCTTCTCCTGTTATTATGAAGAATTATTTGTCAATCATCTTTCATTTTAAGACTGTTCTTTCCATCTCTCACTACACATCCTCGGGCTGGTTATTCACTGCCTGCTTCCTCTCAGCATTTAGAACCAGAACCTCAGTCTGGAAAGGTTTATCTTACTGCTTTCAAACAGCCATTTCTCCTTTTTTGAGTGGGGGCCCTCCCCTTGGTTCTGTGAAATAGAGCCAACTGTGCTGCTCCACTGCAGGCCAATTGGTAACCGTTTCCTTTCATCAGGTTACTGATGTTCCAGTAACAAGTTTTGGTCTAGTCATCATGATTTATCTGCTTATCTTATTAAGAAATTTATTACTATTCCTGATTTTGCAGTTTCTCCTTGTGAATTCTAAAAGATGCAATGGCAGTTAGATTAATTCACTCAGTCCTGTGGACATATGGAAGAATAAAGTGGAGGCATTAGTAAGGAACAAATTTATGATGAAAATGATTTATGCATTTATATCAGTTCCACTTATAAAAGCCATTTCATGTATGAAACAAAGTCTAAGTTCACATTTTTCATTTGTGATATTAATTACATTACTTGATTTTTTTTATAGTCTTATATTCTGAGAAATCAACAATTTTTTGGTAATAAACTATCCAAAGTCCAGACTACATACTATGATGATTTTATGCTTAGGAAAGCCTACTGTAACAATTTATTCTATTTGCGAATAGAATAGAAAAGAATACTTTGTGAATCTGCTGGGATTACCAGTGTTCCTCTGGTTGATGGGACTGTCCACCTAAGTTTAGACTGTGATGTTTTTATATATATAAAACATCACATATATATATATATATATAAAAAACATAGAAGGATGTGTATATACACATCCTTCTATGTTTTCTGGAGAGCAATATAGGAGGCTGTTTAGAAAGAAAGATGCTTAGAAATTGTAGGGTTTTTGTTTGCTTTTGTTTTCTTTTAATAATTAGAAATTCAAATAAGGTCTTTCCTGGAGGGCCTTAGCAAGTCTAAGGCAACCCAAATTCTAAGAAGATGAAACTTGATTACCAGAGATGAGAAATGGGCTTTCACAGATTGCCTGGTTATTTTGCTAATACTTACCTGGCTCAACAACGGGAAGAAAATCTCCCTCTGCTACAGGTCTAACAACTGCCCTTTCCAATTCAGTGCTGAGAAAGTTCACATTGAAAAGCTCTGCAGCAAACCCAGGCTAAGGCAGATCGGCAGATTCCCCATGGATAGCAAGGAAACTTGCTAAAACCCTTCACATCTGACTCTTACACCCTGAAGCTGTCGCAAGGAGAGGTCTACCCTTCTCCCCAAATCTAGAAGGCAGTTTCTACCTGGAAGTAAATCCATCCTCAGGGCTCGACTATTTGCAGCCTCTCCTTCTAAGCTTAAATTTAAGATCTGTCAGGTCTGGATCCCCAGTCTGTTTTGGTTCTGGAACAAAGTAATTCTCTCTGTATATCATGTTTCGTGCCTTTTTATATTTATTTCTTTTTCTCTCTCTCTCTCTCTCTCTCTCTTTTTCTTTACATTTTACACCAGCAGAAGATGCAGTATCCCTGCACTTGCGGAGCTCAGAGGTACCTGACTTCAAGCAATTTTCCACACTGGCATCTCTCCCTCATGCTGTATGACATTAGTTAGCCAGGGAGCACCCTGGCAGCTTCTTCAGCTTAATCACCTCACATTGGAGAGGGCTGCCTCTCGTCAGCTCAAACACTTTGCTTTCTGCCCTAGAAACTTTTTCAGACTCGGGTCTTCTCAAAAGCCAGCAACTTGACATCTTTTTAAAATTAACTCCATGTAACTGCAACCTGCAGCTAACCACGTGCGTAACCCAGAGGCCTTCTTGTAAAGTTTCACAGATTTCAGAGACACTCCTCTGCATTTGCTCTACGCTGAAACTGAAATCCTTCCTAACATGTAAACTTCTGTCAAAAAAAAAATTAAAGTAGGACATCATGTATTTGTTTAAGCACAGACAGATAGTGTTGGCTCAGAAGGGGAATGAGTGGCTCCTCTTTTTTCTCTCTCAACACATCATGTGATTTTCGCATGTTTTTACTCCCCTGTACTCAGAGATAATAATGGTTTAGCTCACATTTTGGCTCTACCTTCTTCCAGATTTTGGATGGAGAACAACAATTAAAAAGAAAAAAGACACAAAACCAAAAAACTGCTGCAGCAACTTATTACCAGTCAATAATAATCGGTTTCCCAACGGACTTCTGCCCTCAAAACCCGCATTCTCCAACCTTGGGCTGTCAGGTGGGTACCTTCCCTTGCATCTCGTCCCGGGAGCGCCGTGGCAGCCCAGGGTCCTCGGGACGGGATGCTCCCGTGCAGCACAGCAGCAGGACGCGATCCGCTGCGAGCCTGGCAGCGAGCATGTGGATTACTGTGCTCACGAGGCCTAATCCAGCCCATCTGCCATATGTTTTGACGCCCTCATAAATCCTCTAACCTTTCACAGGCAGTCATTTCCTTCGGGGGGGCTGCTGGGGGAGTGAGCACTGATTTAGATCAGGTTTAACATCTCTCCTGCCCTGCTAAGAGTCAGGAACCAGTGCTGGAAGTTTAGAGGTTGGGACTGCGGAAACGCCTTCCACTCCCCTTACCAAAACCCATCTGGAGAAGCCACCCACGCTGCAAGCCACCCTTGCATTGAATCCCAACCCCCCTATGCCCTTCCCCAACAAAGTGCAGCAGCAGATTTCTTAATTGGGCAGCCCCTGCCAAAGCTCAGTTATAACCTAACCTGCATCCAGAGCATTTCAAAAAAACATGGCTCTTTCAACCTCCCCCTGCCCATTTCACAAAGACACATTAAATAAGGCACCTGGTCAAACAGTCCTGATCAAACACACTGGAGTTAGTTAGTTCCCCACAAAATACTGATTTCAGAGTGCTGGAAATGCAGGCAACAAAAGGGGGAAGTAACCAAGCACCACCCAGAAGAGAGGTTCATCTGCAGCTGAGGCTTGTTGAATATATGTCGGCTTGAGAACCGTGGCTACCCAAAGTAGCGAGATGCTGCAAAAGCCTGACCTGACGGCACCTTGTTTCTGCGCTAGGTTGAGGTTCCTGGATCACCGCCCAGCTGAGTTCGAGCCGAGCAAGAGCTGGAGCAGGATCCACACCCGGCGTGGGGCACCGGCTTCCCTTACTGCCATGAGCGCTGACAGGCTCACGGCCTTTCCCAAAAGCTTGGTCAGTCTGTGAGCAGGAGCAGCGCAGCCGAGAGCGGCTCTCCGCGGGCAAGGCCTGCGCAGCCACACGCAGCACCCACGGCAACTGCCAAGGCAAATACATCTGCCCGGGGTCAACGCAGCCCTGCGGCAGCAGGGACGCCCGGGGCTGACGCCCACAAAGCCTGAGAGACATCGCTCGCATTGCTGGACTGCTCCGTGCTGCTGCCCAGCACCACCCCTAGCAGCGTGCATGGAGGCAGGCGCTCCAGCAATCCTGCCTGTGTCTCAATTTAACAAGCATTACCTCCTTGGATCGGCTTTGTGGTGGATTGAAGGTACTTTCTGCACTAGCCAAGTGTATGGGATAATACCACGCAGGGACTACGGACTAAAGCTCATCCCTTCAAGGCATGTGAACTTGTCATCCCACTTCTCTGTATTAGTAATTCATAAAACTGTCTGGTTCCAGGACAGAACTTTCAAAAAACATGCGGATAAACTAAAAGAGGTCAGAGGAGAGGGGGTAAAGTGATCAGTAATCTAGAAAAATGTGTCCCATGAGTAAAGAACAAAAGACACCCTGGTTAGACACTGCAGCTGCCTCCAGCCACATACATGGCTATGTGAAACAGGAAAGGAATAATTTGCTCTCCCATCTATGTCCAAAGAACAACAGTAATGAGTTAAGTCAAAGAAAGGAAGATTCAGGTT